TCTGTTAATTCTGCGTTAGAGTAACCAGCCATAGCGAAAGAAAACTTGTGCACTGAGAACAACTGTCAAATACGTACTGTTTATTTCACTAAACATCAACCAACTATTATAAGAAAATACACAACGTTTTTGCAAAATAAAAAAAGGGGCTAAAAAACATAAAACATTCCATATCTCCGCAACCGTTACTTTGCGGACCCATGTTTATTGAGACTTTTCTGCTTATTTTGGTTCATACTATTACCTCCTTAAATATTTTACATTCTTTTTTTAACACCCTGTATTATACCCTGTACATGTTTAATGTTAAGTGGATGCATACTCAGTAGTCATTGATGCATTTGTTAACTAGATAATAATGCTTTCAAATCATTTACAGACATATTTAGTGGTCACTCACTAAGAAAGGATCACCTCATCTCACCATCACAATAGCCATGTCCTGACCTGCCCCGACAAGAGGCTATATTTGTCTGAGGTATTTACGTTTTTCTATAGTTACACATATATTTACGCCCGCAACAACCGATTTCCGCTTTTCTTACCCTTTTCAACCCTTTATTTCTCTTTTGCCTAGAAACACTTCATCTTTTGTAATGTAGTTAATGTTTAGATAAACATAGTATTTGTTGAAAGGAACGCCTATTGTGTAAAATTAATAAATTATTGTTAATTAAATCTTGATTATAATTATAACCTCTGCTATACTGTTCAGTAGTTATACCGGGTGTTACAAATTAGTAACACATATTTTTATCTTAAGTCAGTACACTTCCTGTGTAATTTCGGTGTAAAATATCAAAGCGCGAACGATAGAAAGGGGGATTGTAGTATCCACGGACCCTCCATTTTTTTTCAGTTTCAAAATACAAATTTTTAACTACAATGCTTTTTATTCCATTTTTTTCACTCTTATAAAATCCCCTGCCAATTCACCTACTAAGAAATATTTCAGATAAGTGGTTCTGTACCTTTCGACCGCAATGTGGAGGAGCACCGTCAAGTTGAAACCATATATTTTGACGAATCACCAGAGGCAAATCATCAAATAAGTCCATGAAAGAATTTTGTAAAAAAATAAAATATCATTAGAGTTTGTACGGGGTGGTAAAAAAAACTGGACCTAAAAGAAAATTATCCACTATTCCCGCTCATACGTTTACTTTAATTTTTGTACGATGGTGTGAATATTTGTTACTCCGTTACGAATAAATGTGATCTCATCTGAAAACAAAATAAATTGGAAGTCGCGATTATTTTCGTGACCGATCCAATTGTAGCAAATGGCTCTTGCTTCGCTACCTTGAGATAGAAGTGAGTTAATATTAATGTTACCACCATATTAGTCATCTGTTTGGCTACCATCCTAGTACTTAAATCCGGAGTTACTTCAATTATTTACAAAATTTGCTCCTCTTGATTTGGTTGAAGCTTGTGTGCCCATCCACACTGACCCACCCTCTAATATTTAAATTTTCCAGATTCTCTTGGGAAACGAATTAAGCTGAGGAAAAATCTTCTTTTTGGATGATATCGATTCGGATATTTTACTGCATAACGTCTAGCAGCTTCGCCTAAAAAAAAACGTCGACTAAACTGATCTCACGTATCCAAAAAATCTTATTAGAGTGAACAAATAGAATAAAAAGTTGCTCTAAAAAATGCCTTTCCTCTGTTCGCACTCTAAAATTTTAAGTAAAAATTATATTGAAAATGTGTCGACTTAAGATACAAATTGTCTAAAATCAACAGAGCTATCAATAAAAATAATTTTTAAAATGTTTATTTTGACACCCTGTAATCCACAGTACTTCTTGAACATCAGTTAAGTAATCTTCAACATTTTGTAGAAACCGTGGTGCATACCATCCTGCAATAACCACATTTGTTGTTGTGCAACTGAGGGTAAATCTTCAAGAAGTCCAGACAGACGCAGACGATGTACGAAATATTAGAGATATCCGTTCGATTTGTCTCAAACGTTTAATGAAAAATGCTACCGAAAGTGATCCCGTTGAATCGCATGCTGGTTTTTATGTTCCAGAATTGCTGTTTATGAACATTATTCATCCCGTACTATAGACCAGGCAATAAAGAACGATTTACCTCAGAATATCTAGATTTTCGCGGCCCGGTCCGATTTGCAAGGTTCTCCGAATGACTGGAAAAATGAATCTCGGGGGTTTTCGTGGGTGCTGATTCCGAATTCGAGGGTGAAAAATGTCCCCTGTGCTCGTGGAGGGGGCGGTGAAGGTATGAAATCTAAAGTTCTCGAAATGACTGGGAAAATGTATCTCGGGGATTTTCGTGGGTGCTGATTCCGAATATGAGGGTGAAAAATATCCCCTGTGCTCGTGGAGGGGGCGGTGGGGGGAGGGGGGTTATAATATTCATGAACTAGTAACATGGAATAATGAGTATTTTGGGGATAGAAAATTATAACGTGTGATGTTAGTGATATATTAGGACAATCAGGCCCCGGGGGAAAAAATATACTTATGTATATATGTAATGATAAATCACGGGGCTGGACTTGCACCCAAAGGGGCATATTGTAATGAATTGGAAATGCACACAAAGTATCACGATTGAAAAATTACCTGACCGAACTTTGAATCATAAATAAAAATTAATTATTAATATGGCAAACAATTAATTAGTATAAAATTGTTAATATAAAGACTGAATATAAAATAAGTATCAATTAAAGAATACATAGTATAAAATTAATAATTTTAATTTAATTCACAAATACAAAATAAATTTTTCAAAAGAATGCATGACATCGACACTTGTTAACACCCAGTACAGTAAGAAAACAGAATTTAAACCCAGTGACATATATCAAATTAAAGCCCAATATCCATAGATTAATCTGATATGCATATTTTGGGTAGACGAGTAACTGTAGAGAAGATATCTTAAATGAACTGAAGTCATATATGAAATTTTTTTATTAAATGTCAAATTAAATTATAATTTTATCAAATGTCAAAACTAAAGTTGGCTTTACAAGTACCAGAAGGTGACCTAGAAAAAGAACATAAAATAAGGAATATTTTAATAAATAGTAAGAGATTTGTATATTAAAAATAAAAGGACATTGTAAAAAAATGTATTAGTAATAAGAAGTGCAGTGAAAAGTGTTGTGAAAAAAGTACATCCAAGGACTGGAATTTCTGTAAAGGGAGATTAAGACAAATAATTGAAACCAGAGAATTCTAGAAGGATGAGAAACAAAAGTTTGTTGTTTAGTTACGGCTTGGTTTTTGGCAAAAAGCTAGAAAGGAGAAGCAGCTCCAAAAAATTTAAATTAAATTCAAGGAAAACAGTCAGGAAGTAAATTAAACTTACTAGTAATATCGAAAATTGTTTGTCCTCAAAATCCAGATAAAGAAAATTGGTCAGTGAAGAAAAAGTTCCGTAACCAGTATAAAGCAGTATCCAGAGAGGTATTCCAGTGGCCCCATAAATGGTACAAAGGACATCTTCATCACTTCCAACAAGGAAAAAAGCAAATAGTAGTAACAGGTACCTAAAATAGAAAAATAAAGTGCACTAGAAATTCATAGATATAACCTACAAATAATACAGTATTAATGCATTATATTTAGAAAAAGGATAAATTAAAAATCAGGACTTACCTGAACAAAATTAAATACAAGCAATTTAAAATCTAGCTTTAAAAACCTCCAAAATTGGATGAGCTCACACAAAGTTCTAAAAGGGACAGCCATTTTAATTTTAAGAACGTCAGACTGTAATAGTTAAAAGTTTATATAATTTACGATAGGCAAGACACAATACACGGGCGAGTGCCTAATATAGTATAAATTAAAAATTCAAATATAGTAATTTTTTTAAGAAAAGCCCAGTCCTTGTATTGTACAAACTGTAGTAGGATAGAAAAGGTAAAAAAATAAAATATTCTTTATTATTGTCATTCCTAGTCTAGAGTCAAAAAGTTGAAATTTTGTTTTCATATAATCCGATTAAATAATTTAAAATAAATATTGTATAAAAAGTTAAAAACTCTATTTTCTGG